CTAGAAGATCTAGGAAAAAATGGGGGAATAGAAGATCAGTCAGTTAACCTCCTGTTTATTCTAGATGAACTGAAAAGAGCAATTAGTAATTTAAATAATACACTGTCGTCTCCAGGAAAAGATCAGATCACAAATATAATGTTGAAACATCTTAAAGATGGGGCTATGGGCAAATTTTTAGATTTGTATAATAGAGTATGGGAGGAAGGAAGATTACCAAATGCTTGGAAAGAAGCTATAAAAATTCCAATAAGAAAGCATGGCAAATATCCTTCTAAACCATCTAATTATAGGCCAATAGCTCTTACTTAAAATATGTGTAAATTAATGGAAAGGATGGTTACAGACCGTTTGACATATTTATTGGAAAAGAGAGGAATATTAACTAAATATCAAAGTGGTTTTAGAAAAGGAAGAGGAACAATGGACCCTGTTGTATGTTTGGAAAATGAAATTAGAAAAGCTCAGGTAAATAAAGAATCAGTAATTGCAGTATTTTTCGATGTTGAGAAAGCATATGATATGATGTGGAGGGAGGGACTTTTGATAAAACTGAAAATGATGAATATAGATGGAAGAATTTACAATTGGATTAAAGATTTTATGGCGTACAGAAGTATACAGGTGAGAATTGGAAATGAATTGTCAAACAGATGTGAGATAGAAAATGGAACTCCACAAGGGAGTGTTATAAGTCCATTAATTTTTTCCATAATGATTAATGATGTATTTAATCAAGTACAGCAAGATGTAGGTCGATCTCTTTTCGCTGATGATGGAGCTCTATGGAAAAGGGGAAGGAATATTTTGTATATTAATGGAATGATGCAAGAAGCAATTAGAAAGGTAGAAGAATGGGCATGTGATTGGGGATTTAAATTTTCAGTAGAAAAGACTAAGACTATAATTTTCTCTAGGAAAAGGATTATACCAGAAATAGACTTGAAGATGTACGGGAGGTCCTTAGAGAGAGTTAGAGTTTTTAAATTTTTAGGTATTTATTTTGATTCAAAACTTACATGGGTGGATCATATAAACAAAGTTATTGAAAAATGTCAGAAGGTATTAAACATCATGAGATGTGTAAGTGGAGTGGCATGGGGGGGCAGTGTTCGTCATTAAAAACTATTTATGTGGCACTGCTCAGATCTGTGTTTGATTATGGCAGTGTGGTATATGGTTCGGCTTCAAAAACCCTGTTGGAAAAACTGGATAAAATCAAATAGAAATTGTATACTTTCTGCTAATAACCCTGAAGTCTCATACAAAACTGTATGAATACACGCTGTTGCTGGAGCGAGGAAAGTGTTTGGGCGTTTAGATCAAAGGTGACGCGTTACAGTAGTTCATTTGTAAGTGACATTGCATATTCAGTGATTTCTCGTTGTTCCAGCCTCAATAATATATTTATGAATCGATCAAACGTATGGACTTGTGTTTAGACTGAAAATAAGGTAATGTCTTTACAAAGAAGCACAAAATGGATCTTCAAACTGTTAAGACCTGTTTTTAGTCAACTTAATTTAAATTTACTGTTGTACGACACTGATATTTTCAATTATGACCTGACATAGCGTTCACTTGCTGTTTTAACTATTTACACAGTCTGTATTTTGGTCAATCGTGTATTTTCAAATAGGTTTTCTCCTATATTTATAAGTCTTAAACTATTTTTAAAAGAACTATACACTGAGCACAGATCTGTACAGGTGAGGTGTGGCTCCAAATGACCGTTCTGCTTTATGATAAATTAATTCATTGTCTTTATCTATGTCAGTAACTGTCAGGGTGAAATATGCCCTTGTTCCGGCAACTTGAGCCCACACCGGAGAGAGAACGTCAGAGGAAGAATAAACGGAAGAATGAATGGACTGAGGATGACGATGAACCATCCACACTGATTGGCCTTTGTCTTCAAAGCCTAGCCGAGAACATGAAGGAGATGTGGGCAAAAGATTATACCCAAAAATACATGGACCAGTATTTCTTCAGATACATCATGGGTCCCTTCAGCTCATTACGCGAGTTCTGCAAATATACACCTTGAGAACATGTGTACATAAGTGAGTGTTATCTGTGTGTTTCTCTTTTAGCTGGCGAGTTGTTGGAAGAGCTGTTGTGCATCCTGTCCTCGCGTAATTTGTTGACACGTGCTGCCCTGCATCTCCTTCTGCTCCCGCAGCTGAGCTGTTTGTCCCTCACATCGGCCTGCAGCCTTGTCAATGCCAACCTCTACTCTCTTATCGAGATACGCTGCCAGGTTAAACACACACACACACCCCTTTCTAAGTATATTTCGTATTTGCCCACCGTTTGCGTAAACGTGCTTGTAAGGCTTCAGTGAACTAAATTTAAAGTTAACCATATCAGACCGCAAATACCAGATACGCCAATTACTTCCAAATTTCCATCAATTTAGCAGTGCCAACAGTGCAGCAAAAGAATAGAATTTAATTTTTTTTTTTAGGTAAGCCTTGGTAAATAAAATACTGTTGTTACACATCTTGTTTCAGTCAGTAGCACTGAAAAGTTTTTAGTTAGTGTGCAGTGGAAGCCATAATTTTTTACTTTTAATGTGACAAAACTACAAAAAGATAATACTTATAATACAATAAAAATAATCATGAAATAATAATAAAATTATTAGTAAATAGTCAAATATAATATACTATTAATATAATAAAAATGTATACATACTGTTTAAAAGTTTGGGTTGGTTTTTATGTTTTTGAAAGAAGTCTCTTATGCTCACATGCAGTAGCTGCAGTTGCGTTTCTCCTGCTCAGCTTACCTGGTCTTCAGAGGTTGGCAATGGAGGGATTGGGACAGGCTTGTGCTCTCATACAGAACAAGCAGTTTGAGGTGACTGAGGAGTTCAGTAGTCAAGAAGGTGTGCCGCTTCTTAAAGACATGTGGGCGAAGCGAACACACGAAGACCACTTGAAAGACAGCAGTTTACTGAGTACAGATAGAGAGGAAAGTTTTACTTTGGAAGGAAAAATAGATGAATTTTTATCATTAGAGGAGAGTCAGACAGATGCTAGTGATAGTACTGATATAAATGAATGGACAAGGACTTCAGGAGATGGTTGCGAAAAAGATGGATGTAGAAGTAGAGCTTGTAATGGAAGGGATAGTGTGACAACATCTCTCAGGGATGTACAAGGACTGTCTCTGGATACTTTAGAGGCGGTAGGGAAGGTCTGCCCTGAACTGCGTGTCCTGTCTTTGGACTGTCTCCAGAACAATGTGGATGATAATGTTGACAGCTTTGAACAGGCAGCAGTTTTAGCCAGAGGACTTGGTACGTTTTCTGGACAGCTAAGCTGTCTTTCTCTACAGTTTGCTGGTCTTCTGTCTGAACTGGTTCCAGCACTTAAAGCCGCAGGCTCACATCTGCTTTCACTCACCTTGGAAGGCATCAAAGCTGATGGACATATTCCTCTTCTGGAGCTCATTCATGCCTGTCCCAGACTCACTTCTCTCACTGTTCATTTAGACCCACCCAGGAATAATTTGAATGGAGAGGAGGAGGAGGAGGAGGAGGAGGGTGAAGACGAAGGCCTTCTTTCTAATCTGCCATGCATTCCACACCTCCGCTCTTTAACACTAAAGTTAGTCATTCTTGCTAAACTTTATGCTGATGCGTTTTCCCATTACAATCGAATCTGCGGGTTACTGTTATCTGTTCTTTTTTCCCAACAGTTTTTCCCTGGATGAGCGACATTTGAAGCCTGCATTGTGTTGGAGGTCTCTGAAGGGAGTGCTGTGGGCACTACTTAGAGGCGCTTCACTCCTTCAGAAGCTCTCACTAATCGCTGTTCCCTGTCGACTGGACCCTGTGTTCAAACTTGTCCTGAATCATTGGGCCAAACCCCTCGGAGCCCTAGATAGTCCCCCACTGCACTGCCTCAGATCTGCTAGCCTGAACCGCTCAGATATCTCTATGGAGACTGTAATACATATTGTAAACACTTGTAGGCGCCTGTCTCATTTGGATTTGAGTGGCTGCTGGGCATTGACTTTGAGCAATATCACAAAGTTACAATGCAAAGCCAAAAGGAGGCGCCATACGCTGCAAATAACATGGACATGAGCTGGGGAAAGAAAAGGCCTTGCTAAGATTGAAAATGAGTTGTATGTCACTATGTGATTTTGTTGATTTATATTTGTATCTTTCACAGGTGCCTAGAATTACAAAAAAAGATGAATGTAATGTAATTATATATTTATGTAATTGATATATGAAATTGGAAAATATATGTGTTGCTGATACAAAGATAAAACTAATAAAGTTAACCAAAATTACAATGTACTGCTTATAATCAGATTTATAAATTGTCCTTTGTAATTTTCTATCCATATATACACATGGCCTTTGAGATTTAAAATTGTTTACCACAAACAGTCTGTATTTTTTAACCCATAAAGTTTTGTTTTAGAAAGGCACTTTTTTTTAAAGATGACCCAGCTGTTCATTACAAACTAAGTTTTTTTTACAAAGATAAAAGTGTCATGCACTTTGTTATATTAGAATAACTGATGTTTCTATGCAAAAGTCCCAGAATAAGAGCAAGTAAATGTACTTTTTAATTTTTTATCACTTTTTAATTTTTTATTTTATCACAACCTTTAAACCATCTGCGGTTTTAATGTTGCTGGTAAAAGTGTTGGTGTAATAAAATGTTTAGTAAACAATAATAATAACACGTGTATCAATAAAATCTGGTACTCTCTAAAATTGTGTTGTGTTTATTTATATATTTGTCTATCCACTCCTGATTTTATACTTTCTATACATTGAAATTTTATTCAAAGCTGCTTTCTGTTTGTGTACTGCACTCTTTCTTCATTGGCTCCTTTTACTGTGGCGCGAAGCCTTCACAATAATAATATGCTGATTGGCCAGTTTACTAGCGCGAACTTATTCCTAGAGCAAATCAGTTCATCGGCGTCCCACAACGTAATTCATATTCATGAGCCAAGCGTTTGACGTACTTATTCGTAAATTCGCTGGCGGGAAGAAGACTGTGCGTGCTAGCTAAAGTGTAATTTGTTTATTACACTCAGGTCAGTTATGTCTCGAATACTCAACTCTATTGTAGCTGTTTGTCCAGACATGGGAATAGGGAAAAATGGAAATCTGCCATGGCATCCAATAAGACTAAGGTGAGCTCGTGTTTGTTGCTAAATCTCCAGCTAATGTTCTGATTATTGATTCAATAATATAAGAGGTGTTTGTAGATTTCTAGCGCCCTGTGTCATGAGTTTTGTGTTTCGCAACAGCTATAAGTTGTAACGTTTGCAGTTGTGCAAACTGAATGATTATTGAAAAATTAATAAAGTAAAAGCATCGTACTAAACATATGAGGAAAGAATGGTAGAATGAAGAATATTAGCGTAAGTTGTAACGTCAAGTTAACCTAAGATCGAACATTTTATGATTGCACAGATCGGTTACACTTTACTTGAAGGGGTGTCCATAAGACTGACATGACACCTTCATAATCATGACATGACACCTACATAATCATGATATGACACATGTCATGAATATGAAGGTTTTTATGCATGTTTATGACAACTGTCATTAAGTGTAATTCACTCAGTTATGTCATTTTTAATGCAAAGATGACATTGTTTGAGATGTCTTTGTTATGGGCTATGGTTAGGGGTGAGGGTAGGGGTAGGGTTAGGTCAAATAATGTCATATTTGCATTAAAAATGACATAACTGAGCGAATGACACTTAATGACAGTTGTCATAAACATGCATAAAACCTCCTTCATATTCATGACATGTGTCATATCATGATTATGAAGGTGTCATGTCAGTCTTATGCACACCCCTTCAAGTAAAGTGTTACCCACAGATCTTTAGTTAAAAGCTTGACCTTTATCCTAGAGTCCATTGGTAAATAACGACATTCAGCACATTTGCCCCATGAGAGCAAAGCCCACACACACTACTATAGAAAACCCCCTGACATATTCCTAAACTTTTTAATGTATCCCAACCATTCGCTTTGATTCTTATCTTTCATATCTTTTTAGTAATGAATTCAAGCACTTTCAGAAGATGACCATGACTCCTTTAGTTGAGGGTAACAGTATGCTTACATTGTCTTATTGTTGTCATATTTTATTTGTTTGTTCAGAATTGATTAAAAGCTTAAACCAAATCATATATGCTGTGTGTCATTTGACAGGTAAAAAGAATGTGGTCCTGATGGGCAGAAAGACTTGGTTCTCTATTCCTGCAGCAAACAGACCCCTGAAGAACAGGATCAACATTGTTCTCAGCAGAGAGCTCAAGTAATCCTCTTTTAATGTTTACAATTTTTTCATCTTGTATTAAATCACTACCCTGTATAAAAGTAAAGTGCCTGTTTCTATCACTCACTACACAGGACAGCCCCAGAGGGAGCTCACTACCTTGCTTCAGACTTCAGTTCAGCTCTCCATCTGTTAGACAGCAGTGAGCTCGAAAAACAAGTGGACCAGGTTTGGATAATTGGCGGAAGCGCTCTGTACAAGGTTGGTAAAATTATGCAAGCCTGTCATATCTGTTGAGAAATTCAGAGAAATGTTATAAAAGTATAAACACATGCGGACTATGCATTAAATCTCTTATAACTGTCATTGATTTTTTACTAGGGTCTCTTATTATAAATAATATAATATTATATTAGTGCTGTCAAACGATTAATCGCATCCAAAATAATAGTTTACACAATTGAATGGCTTTTGATCGGTTCCATGTGTTTGTATGCACATTCTCCATTTATTTCTGAATACATTAAAATATATATTTTTTTTTGCAACCTAGTTTTAAAATTTAAGACGCATCATACAATCATACAAATTATTTATTAAATTAATTGTATTATTTTTGTAATGTGGTTTGATAGTTCCTCATTTGAGGGTAAAATGGGCTGTTTCATCAGTTATATGCATGCAACAAATATAAATTATACACCCACCTGTACATCAGTTGTATCTCAGTTATAGCGCAGTTTAGTCAGATCTTTGTATAATCAGTTGTTATGGAAACTGCCTCAAGGCAAAATGTACAAAAGACTCCCTTCCTTCATACTCCTTCCTCCTCATTCTGTTAATATCTTGTACACTGTAATCACGTTGTGAATGTTGTGCTGTGTTCTTCAGGAGGTGATGGAGAGTTCTGCTCCCAGGCGTCTTTTTGTAACACGCGTCCTCAAGCAGTTTGACTGCGACACATTCATACCTGACATTAACATGGACAAGTACAAGCTCTTGCCCGAGTGAGTACTCATACAGTTGTTTGTATGCTTACATCTATGTGAAGAGAGTTTAGCATTGCAGTTCTTGAAGGCAGCTGCTCAGCTGCATTAAAGTGACAGTGAAAATATTAATAATGTTACAAATGATTTCTCTCTCAAATAAATGCTGTGGTTTTGAACTTTCTATTAATCAAAGAATCCTAAAAAAATATTACTGTTACTACAAAATATTATGCAGCACAGCTATTTTTAACACTGATGCTAATAAATGTTTATTGCGCATCAAATCAGTATATTAGAATGATTTCTGAAGAATCATGTGACACTGAAGACTGGAGTAATGGCTGCTGGAAATTCAGCTGTGCCATTAGAGGAATAAATTCTATTTTAAAATAGAAAACTGATGTTTTAAATTGTTGTATTATTTCATAATATTACTGTATTTTGGATCATATAGATGCAGCCTTAGTGGGCATAAGATACCTCTTTCAAAAACCTAAGAAAAAAAAGGTACCAACCCCAAACTATTAAATGGTATTGCATTCATTTTGAGCTTTTAAATTCTATTTTAAAATAGAAAACTGATGTTTTAAATTGTTATATTATTTCATAATATTACTGTATATTGGATCATATAGATGCAGCCTTAGTGGGCATAAGATACCTCTTTCAAAAACCTAAGAAAAAAAAAGGTACCAACCCCAAACTATTAAATGGTATTGCATTCATTTTGAGCTTTTAAGAGCCCTACAGAATAAATTCATTTGCATATTGCTTGCAAAAAATGTTTCATAACATGATTTGTAGGAGTGATATTAATACTTCAGTTTAGTGTTAAACTTCAAAAGGCCATTTGTCAAGGCTAAAACTCTTCAGTGTTTTGAAACACATTTTTTTAGGTACAACCTTTTTTGTACGTATGTTTAGGAATATTTGTCTGGTCGTGTCCTTGAATAAAGTGGGATTAATGGATTTACTGGCACTGGAACAGACACATGCTGTATTGTGTATCCAGAGAGAATAGTGAACATTAATGAGGAGAAAAAGCTCTCTTGTTATGTAAAAATAGCATCTAGCATCAAAGGTGGGCCGCACCAAATGTCACATCTCTCAGGCACACAATAAGCATTTAAAGAGAAGTTAAATGCACACAGAATGTTGACACAGGATCATCACTGCCACTTCATCTGACAAAGAGCAAAATTATTTGTGTTCTCAAATTCATTTGATTGGTTTCAACAGTTAATTGGCACAGTGAGCAAGAATCTATACCAGTCTAAAGTGGATGGAAGTTTATGAAAGTACAAGCATGTAATTGTGTATGTGTCTGTATTATGTTTTGTACTGCAGGTGATATTTTCTTGTGTTCTTAGAACTAGTTCTTAGTTCTTATCAGTCCATAGAAATGTGTGGGTAATGTCTTATTGTTCCTTCTATTTCTCTCTCTTGTTTCCTTCTGGTCAGATTCCCGGGTGTACCCACGGGCGTGCAGGAGGAGAATGGTGTTCAGTATGTATTTGAAGTATATGAGAGCACCGACCACTAAGAAGATCCTTTAAGCATGATGCTAAAGTCGGAGAAGTGGCCTGGCCGGGTAATGCGAGTGCTCTGACATGTTGTGTGGCTCAGACCTGTTTTTAAATCAGAGTTTTGTAATTGCCTGACAGACCCCCATCACCCCTATCATTTTTTTTGCCACATTTCCTGTCCACTTTCCTTAGTAATAAAAATGAAATGTGATTCTAGGACAGTTAAAATGTTTTTATTATAAAATTTTATGTGTGGCATTTGCAACTTTATATACAAAGTGGAAAGTAGGCTGAAAATCATGAGAAGACAAGAGGGTGGGTAAAAGGGTGAAATTGATAGGATCCAATCTCCTATGAGCACAACAACTCAACATGTTGCAAGAGTGCTGACCACTAGGTCTCTGCTTATTTGCGGCCTTTTCTCAAATTTTTTTAAATATGCAAAAACAGTTGTTTTCCCACTGTCACTACCAGAATCTTATTTTATTAGTATCAGGTTTAGTTCCTGGATTATCATTTCAAATATTCAGAAAACAATATACTTAATTTTTATCATAAATGTTCTTTTCCACATCTGCTATCCAGTTAATTATTCTTCATCTTGCCAACTGCAAAAGACAACCTGCTCATCTCCATATCCAATAGCAACTGAAGTGTCTGCTCTTAAGCCAGCCTGAAGATCTGACTGCTCTCATGAATATGCATATGTGTTTGGTCTTCAGACTGGCTGATTGACAAAGGTCATATAGTTTAGAGAAGGGTCGCAATACTAGCACTTTCTCTCTCACCCACACAAACTCCTTCATGACCCCTATTTTAAAAAGCCAAATGCCGCAATCAGGCAAAACCTTTTTAGGCTGATTGGTTTCGGGTATGTCAGCCTAATGTACTACGAATGTTTACAACCAGGCTGAAATAAACCTGACTGGAATTCCAATTACCTTGCACATGCACCTTAAGTAGCACTTGGATTTATTTTCAAGGTACAAACAGTACCTAGAGAGTTGAGAAGTTTTTGCATTTTAATTATTTTATGCAAATGAGTTGATTTTTCAAATCAAAAGGTAAAGGAGACCAGTGGACTTGCTGATTTTCTGGTTTTTTTCTTCTTTTTTTCAAGTTGTCCATTATTATAACATTAGGAGCCTTATTATTGTCATTTTCTTTAGTGCCATCGTTACAGGCTTATTTATAGTGACTGCATCACTCAAATGGATCAATAATACACACCCTGCACATCCCTCAGGAGCTGAACTGCTGCCTCAAAGGCGAGACAGTTGTGTCATAATGATGTAACTGCACCATAGGAGTCACGATCATGTGAGCGTGTTGACATCAGAGTTAGAAACAAATTAGAATCTGCGCACAACCTCAGCATATGAGTTCAATAACCCTTTTTCGCAATGTGAGAATAATAGAGCAATCGCTTCCTGACGCTGGATGTGTAGGGACTGGCGTCACCTGGCTCTTTTAAGCTTGACTGTCCTCCTGATACACAGGGACTTGGTCTGTGTTGAGGTTGGTAGCTTGTTTCCAGACATGAGAGCACAGGCACTTGTTCTCTCCGTCTCTCTCCTCTATCTGTGCCACTCTTTCATTCACCCTCAGTGAGTGCACATCTGCACACGTTCATCTCCCACTTCAAGCTCCAGCTTTATTCTCACCCCTGGATTACTTGTCTGTTACAAAGATGACATGCCACAGGAAGCTATTGGAAAACTAGAACTGCAACTGGTTTAAAAGAGGTAAGGATCTAATCTCATCTCCTTAAGAAGTATGAATACTTTTTTAAATGAAATAAGCAACAATATATTTTTATGCATTTTAACTTTTTGTGTTATTAAAGATTTCATGCATATATTTTTTTAGTTTTGTGAAGCTGCTGGTCTTGGTTTTTGATGCAGATCTGTGCAAAACTTTATGATGTGAGTGAATAGAGTTTTTTCATTAGATTTGACCTTGGCTCTATTCGTCTGTAAAAATAAGATTATAAATAGTTCTCACCAAATAGCATTTTCAAATATGATTTTCCCACATAAACGTGAGTGTCTGTTACAAAGATGACATGCCACAGGAAGCTATTGGAAAACTAGAGCTGCAACTGGTTTAAAAGAGGTAAGGATCTAATCTCATCTCCCTTAAGAAGTATGAATACTTTTTTAAATGAAATAAGCAACAATACATTTTTATGCATTTTAACTTTTTGTGTTATTAAAGATTTCATGCATATATTTTTTTAGTTTTGTGAAGCTGCTGGTCTTGGTTTTTGATGCAGATCTGTGCAAAACTTTATGATGTGAGTGAATAGAGTTTTTTCATTAGATTTGACCTTGGCTCTATTCGTCTGTAAAAATAAGATTATAAATAGTTCTCACCAAATAGCATTTTCAAATATGATTTTCCCACATAAACGTGAGATTTTTTTAAACTAAATTTTACAACTATATGTGCATGTATATATCTCTACATGTAATATGAATTTAAGTAAAGTTATTTAAGTTTAATTAAAATATTTCTTTGTTTAACATAAAATGATTAAGTATAAAAATTTATTAAAATCATTTATTTAAATGATGTTTAAAATGATCAACTTTAAATACTTAGGTTTGCTGCTTTCACTGTTTAGCATATAAATGTATCGTATGGACATGGAAATGTACTTTTTTTAAACTAAATTTTACAACTATATATGTGCATGTATATATCTCTACATGTAATATGAATTTAAGTAAAGTTAATTTAAGTTTAATTAAAATATTTCTTTGTTTAACATAAAATGATTAAGTATAAAAATATATGTATATAATTTATATATAACATCATTTATTTAAATGATGTTTAAAATTATCAACTTTAAATACTTAGGTTTGCTGCTTTCACTGTTTAGCATATAAATGTATCGTATGGACATGGAAATGTATCTTCGTATCAGCTGAGGAGGCTTATAATTTATTCTCCTGATCCTGGCAAACCTCGAAAGCACAGTGAGGAAGCTTTCATTACCCTCATTAATCAAGACATACAAAAAACTATTCTTATTCAGCTATCGGTTGATGTCACAGAGAGTGGGTTTTCATTTTCCCTGCAGGTGTTTTGAGAGGGACAAAATCAGCCCACCATTTGTGAGGTGAATTAAGTATTGTGTGATCTGGCATGAATCACAGATGCATACAGGTGCGTGAAGTGGTCTGTTTGGTGCTCCACTTCAGCGCTGCCGCTGCAACAATCACCACCCTCGGCTGTTTTGGGCCTCATTTGCTCAATGCTTTTTAGCACGAGGCAGCGACAGAGAGAGAGGCCTGTCATTAAAAATTCTCTCTGTTCCCAAGGGCGATTGAAGACTAGGGGTATGGCACACAAAGCTGTGGTTTTAAATGCCAGCCCAGGGAGCTCTGGGAATTAGCAGCTTGAACCGAAATGTCCTGCAGGCATCAGGCAGTGTGCTTGTACCAGACCAATCAGGACTTTAGCATGTCTGCACAACTTGATTTGAAAAGCAAAAACTATCAGAACAAAGTGCTTTATTAGCATACACGTGGAGAAAGAAAGACGAGGATGGAGGATGGAAAGGCAGATATATTTAAGGCTAATATTAAATTTAGGAACATAAAGGTATTCTAATCCACACATTTTTTTAATGTATAACCAATGTGTTGACGCAATCTCTCATTTAGCATTGTCACATGCTGCCTCCACGTCCAAGAAAAGCTGCAGTTAAAGCGTCAGCCCAGATTTTCATCCTTTTTATTTTTTATTGGAGGACACAAAAAGATTCATCCTCTTACTCATCTTACCTCAACTCCAGTGAATTCACATTTATAAACCTGACTGAGGCAGTCTCGCGCTCGCTCTTTGTTAAATAAAGAGTGCACTGCAACCGCTCTGAGTTGAGAGAACAAGGCCACATGCACAATAGACTGCATAAAGGAATGCCATCGTTCAATGAGGCAAATACAGACTGCCTCAAGCTATTGAATTTCAACCTACTGAAAAACTATTGTTCTTATAAGAACAGACTATGCATGTCTGGTGCAGGCTAACATGTTAAATACAGCACTTATACTGCACCCGCTAATTTGAAAGTACAGTACAAGTTAAGCTTGTGACAGCATCATAACTTTCATGAGTCTCTGTCCCTTTTCTGTTAAAAAGCAAACATCAAGGTTACAGCAATGCACTTAAAATGGAAACAATTGGAATATTTTTTATTATTATTAAACCAAACTGGTTTTTAGCTGTTTGGCCACCTGGTCTCCCAGCCTGACCAGCTAAAGAAGTGGTCAAAACCCATCTAAAACCAGCCAAACAGCCTAGGCTGGTTTTAGCTGGGGGTTTTTTTTTTCAGCAGGGTTACTATAAACCACATTTTTGATCTCCTTTTTAAAAAAAGATATGCCCAAAGTGCTGTCGATTTAGCTTAACTTGTTTTAAGCCCAGAATATTGCTTTACATGTTGCCTAATTGCATGCTGGGAACAGAAATATTCAGCAAAAATTAAAAGAATATAAAAGGGGAGTCATTCAATTTTATGTAAAGGGGATTAGATAACTAATTCAGTTTTCTTATGTCTTTTTTGTCAAGTGCCAAGTAGACGTGCCACCTACGTAGTCATCATAACAAACATCTTCATATTAGTGTCTACCCGGTGAATGGCGAGAGACCCTAGATTAGAGCAGGAGGCCTCTCTAGCATATTATTCTGAGCCAAAGAGGGAGAGAACATTTCAATGTCAAAGAGTTATCAGGTTTGCTTTGAAGCGAATGAACCAGATAAAAGGCAGACACTTAAGTAAAAACCTTGAGAAACTGTGGTTCTAATTCAGTGTGCTCTTCTTCTCTTGCCTGACAGAAGTCAAAGAAGTCAGCTCCTATGATCCACTGAGCCGACTCGACATTAGCCTCTCAACGGTCTCACCACTTAATCATGGAGGACTCGACAGAGGTGCGGACGGACGGAAACTCTTTGCTTAAAGCAGTGTATCTGTGCCGCCTGAGGTTGACGCGTCTGCTGCTGGAAGGAGGGGCTTACATTAATGAGAGTAATGAAAGAGGAGAAACTCCACTGATGGTGGCCTGCAAAAGCCACCATGCCGATGCTCAGAGTGTGCCAAAACCCAAGATTATCAGGTGGGCCTACTGTAAATTAATTACACCAGCTGATTGTGCCATCAAATGTGGATATTAGTTTATAATTAAGTACATTAAAAATGTTATTCATACATCAGTACAATGACTTCTGTATGATGAGTGTGTTTAAAACTTCTAAAATGAAATTTATTTTGATGTATTTGGAGGGGGCATTAAGTGAAAAAAATCAGGGTGAGATGTGTGTCCTAAAATAAAATAATTAAGAAAAAAAGTCTAATTAAAAAACTTTTTTTTTAAGAAAATCTTAAGAAGTTTGGTATAAACTTATTTTTATTTCTTAGACTACTACAGACCTGCATGAATATGTGTCAAGGCAAATAATTCTCTTAAACTACAAATATTATTAAAAAGGTTTTGCCATTAAAGATACATTACTGTAAGATTATGATATATATATTTTAAATATATAAAATAAAACATTACTTTAAAATACATTTAGACTTAATTTAGCAATAATGCATTAAATTGCTAAACAATTATAGTAAAGACATTTGTAATGCTACAAAAGATTTCAAATAAATGCTGTTCATTTGAACTTTGTATTCATCAAAGAATCCTGAAAAAATGCATTAGGGTTTCCACAAGAATAAGCAGCACAGCTGTTTTCAACATTGATAACAAAAAATGTTGAAAATGCTCACCAAGCAATTTCCTGGGCACCAAATCAGCATATCAGCATGATTTCTTAAGGATTATTTAACACTGAAGACTGTGAATGGCTTGCCATCACATTTTAAAAGATGTTAAAGTAGAAAATGGTTCTTGTAAAATGTTATTACAATTGAAAATATCACTGTTTTACTTTATTTTTGATCAAATAAATGCATGAGACCCCAAACTTTAGAAGTATAACGTATTTTTTGTGTGTTTACACTCATGTGTATTCAAGGGGTGAAGAAAATATTGAAATTTTATCTTGAATTGCTTAATGCTAACAACTGAATCCATTCTTAAAATTGTCATAAAGGTTTTTAAAAATCACTTGAAACAAACATGAATACCAAAAGTATATTTCTTGGCACACCACATTTATTACAAGATTTTTTTTGTTTTTATTTGCCATGGATACTCTGATATGCCACTGATCAATTCCTTTATGATCTCACTCTGACGAATCAATCTTCTCAACAGGTATCTTCTTGAAAATGGTGCGGACCCCAACATTCAGGATAAGTCTGGTAAGACCGCCCTAATGCATGCCTGCACAGAGCGGGCAGGCGATGAGGTGCTGTCGCTTCTGCTCTCCAGTGGAGCTGACCCTAGTTTGGAGGACCACACTGGTTCCTCCGCTCTGGTCTATGCAGTTAACGCTGGAGACAAGGATGCACTGAGAGTACTGCTGGACGCCTGCAAGGCCAAGGGCAAAGAGGTTATCATCATTACAACAGACAAACTACCGTCCGGAAGACAAATGACCAAGCAGTATCTGAATGTACCACCTCCTCCAAATCTTGAGGACCGGTTGCACTGTGCCCCTGCGTCATGTATGTGCCCTTCTGAAATTAAACTCTGTACCCCTTTTATCTCACCACCCACCAATAACCAATCTGAGACCCTGGGATCCACACCAACACTGTCCACATCCAAGCCAGGATCACCGACTCAAGATTCAAGCCCTCTGCAAGCAGCAAGTGTGGCGAAGCTGTTGCATCTACAGCGGCTTCACTCTGAGCCCTGGCTGAAGATCCCTCCATCTCTGCTCCTACAGCAAAGTAAGTCCTCATCCTTGACCGAGGAGCTTCTAGATATCACTCCCAAAGAGGAGCTCTCTTTTGGGTACAATAGTTGCAAACCTCCACTGACATTAGCTCGGCACCAAAGCATCGACGTCAAGGACTCTACTGGTCTGCTTAGAGCCTTTGAGACAACATCTGATGCTGAAAGAGAACTAACAAAAGAACAGAAATGGCTCAGTAGAAAAATGTCTTATGATGGTGAACTGCTACCACACTCTTCCTCACATCAGAACCTCAAACAGGCATCCATCTCCGATGCTGCCCCTGTGGACCGGGACCCAGACTGTCTTCCCAACCTGGCCGTTTCAAGCCTACGCAATGTGTTTCGCCGGCGCAACATTGGAATGGACCACTACAGTTCTGACTCTCAGTTGCCTCAATTTGGGAGCCAACCCTCTGAGGACCTCGGGAAGACTGGAGGAGGAGGAACCGGGGGGACGGAGAAACGCAGGCTTGTTACCAGCCGCTCCTCCACTCTCTCTGGATCCAGAGAGTCTCTGGAGAGTCTCGTTCAGAGGAGGAGCCCAGCCATGCTGGAGCGGAGGGGATCCGGAGCCCTGCTCCTAGATCATATCTCGCAGACCCGGCCTGGTTATCTGCCACCTCTCAATCCGCATGCACCCATTCCAGATATTAAAGTCAATACCAGTGTTGGCCTGAACAGTGGAAGCAAGCCTGTGGCAGGAACTACACCCATTGTTTCTGGATCGAGGCATTTTGTGCCCTGTGCCCCGAGCCATCCCAGAGATCACAAGAATAAGAAGAGTCTGCTAAGACGACACTCCATGCAAACCGAGCTGATCAAGCAGCTGGTCAATTTTGAGGAGATCTTTGGTCAGTAAACACCCCAAAGAAAGGTTGGGGTAAATATAGAGATTTAATGTAATATGTCAATCTACACTAAGTCTGAAATCTGAAGAGAATAAATGTTAGATTGAAGTACGATTTATATATCTCAACTCCCTTTATGCACTTTCCAGACTGGACAATGGGAATATATGTTTGTTTTGATCATTTGTAAACTTTACTGCACTTTACTTCTGTTCTTTGTGATCTCACTCATTAGTGTACCGAATCAGAAAATTGACACTTCGTTGCTGTTTAAGGCACTGCTTCCTCTTTAAACCTGATTCATGTCTGCAGTGTCTTAGTATTTACAAAACAAGAAAATATTGTGACCTTGTATATTTACCCATTGACTGTAAATAAATTCAGTATAAAATATTGCTTTCACTTTCTTGCATATATAAGTGTTGTACAGTGTGCACTTAATTCTGCATGCAATTACACATGTTGAGAACATATTTTCTCTTTTCATATTTTCCCCCAAATTAATATCATTACCATATAAAAGAGCACACGCCAATATCCAAATTTCTATGCTTGAAACACAAGCACGAGCACAAAGAAAAAAAAACATTACTGAGTCTGAAATTGAGGTAGAGGTTCGTGCGGGGACGCATTTTATTTAATAATGTGTAATTATTCTGTGGACAAACTGGACAAACGTGGTTTTATTTTTTTCTTTTGACTATTATCAAAATTACTACTTCTAGAAACAACAGAAATAATAATAATAGTAATTATAAAACAAGTAGGTTTCCAAAAGTAAGAATACACTACGAATTCAAATAAAACTTTCAGTCATGTTATAAAAAGGGAGCCATCCTACTTTTAAAATCACTTGCTATGACAACTAATAAAACGTTTAGTGTCACGAAATTCTTGAAAAACTTTAAAAAACATTACTGAGAGAAAAAGTGGACGTTTCATATCATAGTAAAATTAATTAGTACACGATTATGGTCTCCGGTCTGAAAAAACCTGCATGTGATTTGGCATTTCTTTATATTTACAGTTTACTAATGCTGGTCAAATGTGTCGGAGATGCGTTTATGCATTTTTTTTTCTATTTTACGCATTAGTAGTAGGCTAAAACAAGACTTCGCAAGTTCTCTTGTAAAATAAAATAATAAAAAAACAACATGGAATAAACTATGTACAGAAAGCGATTAAAGAACTCTCAACATTAGGCTACTAAAAAGGTAAGTTTAATCTCGCAAAAACTCCCGTTAATAAAAAACGTACACCGCTTTTATTATTATTGCAGCTTAGATGTTCAAATAGCTGTAGTACTCCGACTTTGCCACAAGGAAACGTGCGTACGCCTGCTCAGACCCTGATGTGACGGGAAGTACTTTTCCACGTCAGAGACCGTTTTTATAAATATGAACGTTGCCGCAGATTTTAGCATACACACATTTTATAAATGAGGCCCCAGAACAGTAGATTCGAATGCTTTCAGACGGATCATGTGACACCGAAGACTGGAGTAATGATGGCTGAAAATTCAGCTTTGCCATTACCGACAATTTTCTGTTTAAGACAGAAAACGGTTATTTCAAACTAATAATATTTCACAACATTACTATTTCAGCCGTATTTTTTTATCATACTTCTGGGCGTACTTCACTGAGCATGCTACTTTTTTTTTTTTTTTTAACAACTGTTTATTGAATTTTCTTCTGGGAATAGTAATATACAACAAAAAGCAACTGTGCAAATTGCATACTTCTTACAAAAACATCACAAATCTTACCGACCCCAAAATTTCGAACTGATGTGAATGTTAGAGGCATAAACACTTTTTCCATAAATTTATTATGCATTTGTGATGACAAAATTCAAATATACAAAATGTTACAAAATGCAAACGTAAATTACAAAAATATAAAATTTCTCTGAGAGTTGTATTTGTGTCTCTTTGTACATTAGTGGGTAAATAAGCATGACAACCAATGAAATGCGTGTTTAAACCTTATTGTCTGACTCAAATACAGTGTACATGTTGATAGGTGAATCCCAGTTCACGTATTTATGCACTATTCCAAACCGTTTTTTTAGTATAAATAGTGTGATTAGTGTGTTCACACTGTTTTGTTACATTACATATATAGTGTTTTATTGCTGTTTTACATCTCAAAGACAACATCAGTAAGTGTATTTGCTTTTTAGGTGTAGACAGGTAGTCCTTTAAACTGTTTGATCTGAGATTCTAACAGGTCATAGTAGATCCTGGTTTTGCTGAAGTTTTGCCTGTAGAGCAACAGATCCTCCACTGTAAGAACATCATGTTTGCCTGTCCATACAGTCAGGCTGTATCTGAGAGAGAACAGGTGAGATGTTAAACAGAATCTCATTTACAAGGCTGACATTAAAGGCACAATATGTAAGATTTTTTTATTAAAATATCCAAAAACCATTAGAACAGTTTTATATATTTTGCTGACTTGTGTACTTACATTAATGAAGACGACAACTCCCATGATTCCACACTCACGGCTCATCTAACTATGCCTTTGTTTCTTTGTTTGTTTTGAATATGCGCTCTCTAGTGGCAAAAAATAACATATTGTGCCTTTAAGGCAGAAAACAATCAACTTCACCAGTGAATAAAAATGTATGAATGGTCCTTTAAATTTGGCATCTTAAAGTGCCCCTATTATGGATTTTGAAAATTACCTTTCATGCAGTGTGTAACACAGCTCTAAGTGAATGAAAACATCCTGTAAAATTTCAAATCTAAAAGTGCACCGTGTATAAAGTTATTGTCTCTCAAAAGAAAGAGTCGACTCTGAATCATTGAAACGAGTTTCATGTTGACGTCAACATGAAACATTAGCATATTGCCCGCCCACTTGTTGGTCTTTTCCTGTTGGTCAGAATGAAAATGCAAATTCATTCTTTGCCACTAGGTGCCGCTTCTGGAGCGGTAAGAATAGCCGTTTCCCCAGTAACGCTGTACACAAAGCAGCACTGCGCTCACAAACGCTGCTTTTTCAGGCATTACAGGCATGATGAAATGGAAATGAGACCAATCGGACCAATCACCACAGATTAGCGTCACGCAAAGGAGGGGTTTGGAAAAATTAATCGTTGAGCGAATCGTTTGGGAGTCCTTGAGCAAGTAAGATAAAAATAAATGCATATTATAAGACAATGAAGGGTTTTTTTTACCTTGCATGCATGTTGTTGGGGACTGCCAAAACCAAAATATGAACCTTTCATTACCCATAACAAATAATCCAAAGCACAAATAACATTGTCATTAAAGAATTCCATCTATTGATGCTTTATCATGGTACAATTAAAGAGCATACTTCCCATTCACTTGTCTGAGACAGTTGAAAAAATTAACTTGCACAATCGCCTTTAAAACAACTGTTGAAGAGCAGCACTATCTCTGTAGAGGAGGCTTAAGCCTTCCCTTCACATCCTCTTAATACCTCAGAACTGACCTCCAGTAAAGCAATGAGTTGCTATTCCAGTCACAAACAAGTGTAATGGACAAGACAGAACCAAATTATCCAGCAAGAAATTACTAAGCATTAGAATGAACTTGATTGTGTCCTTGCTTATATAACACAAATCAATCACCGAGGTAATAAAAAGGCTCCTTCACACAGATGTGTGGCTTAATAGCCTCTATAATAGTAAATATGGACATACATTTAAATAGACTGATTATTGGAGAATTTCTCACCGGTCTGACTGCTTCAAGAGCCACTGGAACTGTGGGAAGGACACAGGAAGGAGAGCTGCTCGGACTGGAAATGTGACTGGTTGCTTTAGGGATCTGCATAATTCTTCCATCTGATGAACCATCTCCCAGCTATAACCTATTTCCCGAAACAACACAAACACAGCAAATAATAATCAAGGTCTGAATAATAATAATTGATTATTAAGACTAGAATACACCAAGGGAAGTCCAATCAAAAGGCTGGGGGCAAAAAATAAAAGTACTTTTATTTTCACACAAGGACAGACCAAATAGATGCTAATAACAACACAACAGTATGTAGCTCATCTGCTTTTCATTGTGATTTTGATTTGATTTAAATGCTAAATAATCTGTGTGTGTATATACTGCCATTCAGAAGAGATTTTTTAATGTTTTTGAAAAAAAGTTTATTTTCCTCACAAAGATTATTACAACGTTTACATTTTCTAAAACGGTTCTCTGTTTAAATATTTATATTATAAAATCATATTTTATTCCTGCTATGGCAAAGCTGAATTTTCAGCAACCATTAATTCAGTCTTAAATGTCACAAGATTCTTTAGAAATCATTCTAATATGCTGATTTGATGCTCGAGAAACATTTCTTACTATTAATGTTGAATACAGGTGGGTTGCTTGATATTTTTATGGAAAATGTGAGCATTTTTTCAGGGTTCTTTGATGAATAGAAAGTTAAAACAACAGCATTTATTTTATATAGAAATTACTTTACAGCCTTTACAGTCACTTTTGATCAACTTAATGCATCCTTTCTGAATAAACGTCTCACTTTCTTTACATAAAATAAAAATCTTACTGACCCCAGACTTGTATATAGCTCACTTCTGATTGCCAATAAATACAAAACTTTAGTCAACTTAGTGTAGTAACATTCTTACCGGGATTGTCTGCATCTACGTCCCACCCAGTGGTCCAACCCAAAGAGAGAACATCATTTTCAGATTTTTGCGCTACTTCCTGTAGAAACACATGAGGGTCCAGAGGGGTGGCTGTGCCTCTAGGGCCAGGGAGAATATCAGCATTGATCCACACGGGTCCCTGCAGCTGATCTCGGACCTCTTCCAGTAGAGTCATGGATGGGGATACAGCTGCGAGACTGTGAATCAAAATGCAAATCAATGCTGCTGATCTGTCACTCATTCATCAGCAGCAAGGACAGTGTGGGAGAAATCAATCTAAACAAGCAATATGACTAGTGTCAACATCAGCATTATTAAAATTTAAGAATATAGAGCTGTGCTGTGTAAAAAAAAACAAAAAAAAATCAGCCACCTTTTGAAATCCAATTTTATTCCTTTGTCTGATTTCACAACTTCTTTAAGAAAGTCCTGCAGAGTTATATCACTGTCATTGTCAGGTGGGTGAGCCATAATAGGCACTTTTGGATCTTGACCGTTTAGAAGTACATCTGCTTCAATCATCTGCGCAGAATCTCAATGAAGAACAAAGAGAAGAAAGAGAAAACATCATCATATAACACATTATTTCTTAAGCTCGATCATGATATGGTCGTAAGAAAAACGAAAAGCAAAGTAGGAGCAAAGCAAATGCTTCTTCATATTTGTACTCACCTTGTAGAGCCTCTGTGAGTTTGCTCTTACTGTTTGCTGCATGATACCACTCGATATCAGCAGCATCTTTTCTTTGTATCGTCCCCTTGTCGAGGAAATATTCCAGTGTATGTTCGCTCATTGGTCCTACAAATATGCAACATACGAATTTACTCTGATTCTTTTTCATCTGGACCAATGATAGTATCTGATTGGACAGCTAGCAAGTTAGCTTTCTTACCTTTGGAGTTTGACAGTGAGTGTAGTTTGAGGTAGCAAACGACAAAAGATGCGATAACTGTTGTACATAAGATAAAACGATACCATTTATGTTTAACTAACGCCATATATTGTTATAAGTAGTTTACTTTTTCGAACATAACATTTACATTACGACAGCTAACTTCCTAAACCGGTAGCATGAAGCATTATGGGATATGTAGTTATTCAGTCCTCTGTATTTCTCTCTTTTACTTCACTAAAAGTACAGTGCCAGTGTCAAAGGTTTGGTTATTATGAATAATAATTATACCGTTATTAATAACGATGAAAATATGTTTTAAAACACAATGTCAAATGTTGCCAAAAAAAAAGTAAAAAAGTAGTGCTGTCAAACGAGTAATCGCGATTAATCGCATCCAAAATAAGTTTGTTTGCATAATATGTGTGTGTTCTGTGTATATTTATTATGTAACTATATCTAAATACACACACATACAGTATATATTTTGAAAATATTTACATGTATTTACATGTCTATATTTATATTCATATAATTTATATTATAAATAAATATATTTAATATATAAAAATAACATATTTTTCAGAAATATATACATGCATGTGTGTGTATTTATATATACATAATAAATATACACAGTACACATACATATATTATGTAAACAAAAACTTTTATTTTGGATGCGATTAATCGTTTGACAGCACTAAAAAAAGTATTTATTCCCATTCCCTGTGTGAACCATGATATTTACATTTTTAATTTTGTAAAGAAATGTATTCATGGAAACTTTTAATTTCTAAAAAAATTATTTGCAAGCATAAGCTGTTGGAAAAGGTATATAATGTTTGTCCAAATATTTCACTACACAATTTACAATATCTATTTAGCATTATATAACTCTTGTGACGCTGTAGAGATAAAAATGAAACGGAGATTGGTGACACATCGTTTTCGTTAGCACTGTCATTCGGCTTAGATTTTTTTATTTGTTGGCTTTTGATGCATAGATGAGGGAGGATTTAATTTTATAATCCATTTAGCTGTGCATTATGCATATTAGATCCTATCAACTGGTTAGAATGTTTGGGTATTTTAAGTTCTGTTATTCTAGGTTATTCAGGGTTACCTGGTGTTCTGGTTCATCCTAGGTAATGGCTCAAAATATATGAAAATATTGCAGGTATTTGTCTTTTGAAATAATACAACATTTTCTTGTTCTTTTAAACATCTTTATTGTCAGTTTCTTTAATTTCAGTGGAGGCTTGATTTGGTTTGGAGGACTGCTCATCATGAGCTGCAGGGCTGTCAGGAACAGAGAGATGCTGTGATCCACCGCTGTCTGCAGAGCATCTACAGTCTCTTCCTCTGCTCCATTCACTCTCCTCAGAAGCCTCTGTTTTTGTTTTACTGTCTTTGTGTGAGAGGCCGAGCTCCTCTAGCTGCATCTGGAGACGTTTTTCCAGATCTTCAGTGTTTCGCGCCAACATGTAGCTCACCTTCCTCTGATGTGCCAAAGCCTCCTCTTTGTCATTTAACTGGAGAGGGAAGACAACCAAAAAGTAGTCAACTCAAAATCTATAGTGAAAGTATATAGGAAAAGTATATAAAAAAATTTGAACATAGGCCATAATTAAAAGTTTACTGACCAGATCAAGCAGCATATGCAGCGTTTCATTTGAATCGGCTGATATCTTTCCTTCACTTGTTGTGGGCAGAAATTTCTTTAGCCTTTCACCTACACTGAGAGACCCTTGCTTCCCTTTAAAATAAGATAAAAAAAAATAATTACTAGAAATAAAGAGAGTGGCATTGTAAAATTACAGCATTGTGCCACATGAAACTGCAGTAATGGTGTCTACCAGAGAGAGTACAAGGAAATGATGGACCAGTTGTTGAAATGAGCCAGTGGTCTTACTGGTTAGTGCACTGCTTTCTGTTTTTGGTCCAAAATATGCATTCACATTTTTTTTATTTTGATTTGATTTGATTTGATTTGGTTGATTGATTGCATGAGCCAGGTCAATCATCATAAACTAAACCTATTCAAACATTTTTATTAAATGTAAATAAAGCTTAGGATATTACATAAATATTAGATGAAAAAACGTAAACAGTTTGAAGCAGTAAAATTACTGAAAATAAATAAAAACGAATACTTGAACTATAACACATACTGTATATAAACAGAAAATAAAATGAAATCTGATAATGTCATATATATATATATATATATAAACAATTGTATATAAACTATATTTAAAAATCTAGATATTAATAAAAACTTTAATTATAATGATATATGTGACCCTGGACCACAAAACCAGTCATAAGGGTCCATTTTTTAAATTGAGATTTATACATCATATAAATCAGCTTTCCATTGATGTATGGTTTGTTAGGATAGGCCAATATTTGGCTGAGATGTTAAGAAAATCGCTTTTAAAATTGTCCAAATTAATTCCTTAGCAATGCATATTACTAATCAAAAATTAAGTTTTGATATATTTACGGTAGGAAATTTACAAAATATCTTCATGGAACATGATCTTTACTTAATATCCTAATGGTTTTTGGCATAAAAGAAAAATCAATAATTTTGACCCATACTATGTATTTTTGGCTATCGCTACAAATATACCCATGTGACTTATAGATGGTTTTGTGGTCCAGGGTCACATATATAAATGATACTAAAATAACACAAGGCCCTAACTTGAGCCAAAAAAAAAAAAAGCAGCACAATTTACGATATCAATTTTGTCAGATTTTATTGCTGATTTTGAATACTTTTTGGAGATTTCTGTGGACAGTTTTAATGAAAGTGACATCTGTTACACTGCATGATTTTTCTCAGTTTTAGCTATACAGGTGAGCAGCACTTTACCTCTCTCATGCCTTTGGTAATGTGGCTGGTGTCTGTCGGTCTCAGCCTGCCGGAGCACGTTCTCACCGACTCTCCTTAACTGCTGCTCAAAGGCGATGCGGAAAGCATCCATCATGACATAAGCCTCCTCCTTCCTCTTCTGCTGCTCCTCCAGCTAATGCAGACAAATGCATTGTGTTACAAGACCCTCAAAGACAAATGAGCAAAGCCAGCGCTGTAATGGATTTAATACATGTACTGGCTGAATAGGAGGGTTAATTTGCAAAGTAATGGAACAGAAGTATTGACAAATACAAGACGAGCACCTCTTGCTTGAGCTGGAGAACCTGTTTGCGACTTGCAGCAGCACTTCTGGCACAAGAGCATGGCTTGCCCCCATTAGAGTTACACTGACATGCCCCATACACTGCCAGCTGAGAGATAAGAGGACAGAGAGCTGTTTAGTCCAGAACAAAGCTGTTTAACACAGACTACAATTAATCAACATTACCTCTAGTACCGAACCGTCTGTTCTCAGGCTGCATGGAGGCTGGGTCCTCTGGTAGTCCCTTCTTTCCTTAGCACTGAGCATGGACAGGAGCTCCAGACATTTTTGGCTCAGAGCTAAGACACGAAATGCAAAATTATGCACTGGAAAAAAACCAGCAATTGGGTCGTGAAATAAATGCAAGAAATATGATGTGACTTACAAGCATTCTCTGTCCTTTGCTCCTGATGCTCTCTCATTTTCTCCTCTAGTGCTTTCTTTAGGGCTTCGTTTTCTGCCAACACCCTGAAGTGGTATAGACATGAACCAGTGACATGTGGGCATTTTTAAAGTGACATGAATTTAAAACAGACCCCATTTATATAACAGACTCTCAATATGTAGCTTGAGTCTTATTGGGAATGTTATTAAAAATAGACATTTTTATCAAAAATGGTTGCGGATAGCATTTCACATTGACCTTTTAGTAGGGATGAAATAGCGGCAAATCTTTTCTTCTGTATCACCAGAGAGAAGACTGTCGTTTTTGATTCATGCCAACTATAAAAGTGTCTTTTTGCATGCGTATACCTCTCATACTTTAAACTCCATGAGTTTTCCACATTCTTGAACTGCACCTGGTTGAAAGTGATCTCCCATTGCAGTGCATTAACCTCCTGTGTGGAAAAGAATGAAAAGAAATGAGATCATATTTGTGCCTGCATTAAAAATGATTAAAAGAGGTTTAGTTATTGTTTGAGTAGGACACCTTTTCTAGGGCCTTGTTCCTCTCTTCACTCTTCTGAAGCAATATTTTAGTATGACAAGTTGCTTTGTCCAAGATTGCCTTAAGGGACAAAATGTAGCACAGGGCTTTAAACCACTTCATAAATGACCTAATAATTATATTAATCATCAAAATATTTTGAAATACCTGTCCTTGCAAGATCCTAAGAGCTTCATGTTTTCCCTCCAGGTGGCGATGAGTGACCTCCAGTTCTGTGCGTAACAGCTCCACTTCCTGATATGGAGCGAAGATTTACATACACCTGAGGCATGTTCATATGTGAAGATGTATATCTTTTCTTTACTCCATTCAAAAACTCACAGGGGTGCTACTTTTCTTCAGCTTGTCCTCTATTGTGTAAGACATGGAAAATATTTTGTTGGAAAGTCTCATTAGTAAGTTTACCTCTGTGACCTCCTGTAGTCTTCTCTGCAGCTCTTCACTTGTGTCTTCAGAAGAGCTTTCTACAACAGAACGCAGTTAGATGTAAAATAATAAGACACTTTTGTTTTTTGCATGTCAGCACATGGTTTTCTAGGTTTGCCAGCACATCATATCCTGGTGGTAGTGTGGTTCTCAAATGACTATTGTTGAATATTTGTTTAAGTACAGAATTGCTCAAGGGAGTACACAAAGTTTCCTTCCTGATAAGAAACAGCAGGTGTTGACTTCACCAAATACTGCAAATCAACAGAGCATGCACAGTAAAAACCCCTGGTCGGACATTACCAGGAAGTTATCAATAGCTTTTAATAAACATGACTCACTTTTTTTTTTTAAATAAACTCTGTACAGTATAGCTTAGTTTGCTCCGTGTCCAAGAAAGAATCTAAGAGGTCTGAAGGTTTTAAATGACTTTAGAAACCGGTCCAGAAGACTAACCTGACTGTCTTTTCTCCCACCGTCCAGCTCGTTCAGCTTCCAGTTCTTCCCTAAAAACAGCATACATGGCTCTGCATGATGTCCAAGAGAAGGGTCCATTGCTTCTTTCACTGCCCCCTTTGATTGGTCGTGACTGAGACAGGAAGCCCAGAAACTTTCCCTTAC